CTGCTCCCTGTCCTGTCCCTCTTTGCCAGTCCCTGCTCTCCATCAGGCTTGGGGAATCTGCTCCCCTGTTGAAGAATACTGTAAACACCCCGAGTTGAAAGTCAGTATGCCTCGCTCCTGGTCCAGGTGTCTTCACAGCAGGCTGGTAGCGAAGCCGCCTGCAAGCTCTGGGCAATCCAGCTGAGCATTTTCTCCCTTTGGTAAAAAACTAGTTGGAAACTGACCTTTTTCCTGGGGACATGGGCACATATTGCTGGCTGGAGTATAAATTAGAATCGCCCCAGGGGAGGGCGGTTTGGACTGTGTGGCCATTTAAAATGTGCATCACTTAACCCTACAATTCCATTTCTGGAGCCCTGGCCTTCAGATACACTCTGATGCCTAAGAAGTGGTATATGGCAGAAGGCTTCAAACAACCCAGAGTCTGTCAAGTAAAATCACGTCCTAGCCACACAGTGACTACAATAAAGCTGTTCGAAATCATGGAGGGAAGTAGGGGCACGTGTTGATGTAGGAAGGCACAGAGATGCATTGTTAGGCACAGCAACACAGCGGACCACCAGTTATGTGTGTTGGCTGTGTGTACTCCGCATGTGAATCCTTGGGTATGCTCTGAACACCTCTGAAAGAAAACAAACAAATCCATGACAGTCGTGTCCTTTGGGGAGAGCTGAGGCTGCTGCGGGATGGTCAGAAGCCTTACTTTGCACTAGTACTCTTTTTCAGTATTAAGAAATGAAAGACATAAATAATTCTAGTGGTGAGCACCTTTATGGGCCACATCTTGTTAACTGTCCGGAGCACTGTTGTCTGGCCATCTGCTTGTTGATGGTGTAGATCTCATTTGCTATGCACTTAATGTATGCCAGGCTTTTGTAATATCTCTTTTAATTCTCAAAAAGCTCCTACTTCAGATGGTCTCTGGAATTGCTTTTTTTTAGATTTATTTATTTCTGCATATGAACTGGGTTGTAGGCCAGAGATGCCAGGGGTAGAGTAAGAGAATTCACCAAAGACAGAGTGGGGAGCAGAACAGGTGGAGCTACTGAAATACACTGCTTAGGGGAGCAGTGGGCAAGAGAGGACAGGTTTGCTGTGCCATGTGGGTCAACTCCCTGACCGAGGATCAAACTAGTGCAGCAGTGGCTGGTGATAGCTTCATAGTGCTGCGTCTTAACCGCTGCACCACCAAGGAGGCCTAGGAGCTATTTTTGAAGGATACAAAATGGTTAAATGTTGATCATTCCATATGGTTCAACCTAATATGGTTGCTTCTTTTTCAAACATTATTACTGTGGATTTGAAAATGGAACTGAGGCCCAGAGAACTTAAGCGAATAAAACCACAGGGTTACAGTCCTTTGTCTCTTCACTTTCTGGTCATCTGAGGCAGTATTCCCAGTAGTCTGCACCATGTGGCCTGAGTGTGGATGGAGCTGTGACACCTTGGTTTGTGTGATTCCACTCTGTGTGTTTCACACACTGATGAAATCCAGAGACAATTTCTGAGAACATAGCCATGTCATTGCGTGATGCTAAATTAGCGCCTGGACCACTAGTCAAATCCCTGGTGCCAGAAAACGGCGTCTTAAGTATTAGCTCTGCTGTTTTTCTTGCCTGGTTTGGTTCTCAAGGGATGCTGCTCCTGGACGTCCCGGTCCCTTCTGTTGGTATTTAGAGCCCTGAAGGTGTGAGACATGCTCGTTTTCCTTGTTTCATCCAGTGCTGGAAAATGTGCTGGGCACCCAAAGTAGGCAAAATGCATGTTATTGGCATGATCATATGACAATGCTGAGACAGTATGCACTGTGCATGCTCATCTCCAGCTCAATCCCCAGGAAGGGGAACAGCCCCCCTTCCTGGTCCATACTTGACATGTGGTCCCCCCAGTCTAGCCGGACACTCTCAAAAGATTGTGTCAGCCACGACTACCAAACAGATGTCACGGAAGGTGCTCACATTCAGTGTGTGAGCCATGGTGAGGTGACGTGGGAGACCCCACAGGAAATTGCAATCATGCCAGAGTCCCCTTTATATGCCTCCCACAGTGCCCTCTAACCTCTCTTGTGTGCCCTTGAATTGAGGAAAGTATGTGCCCCCTTTGCAGGAAAGTATCAGGACATGCAGACTGTAGACTTGGGCCTCGAAAGCCACAGCATCTTTATTCATCATATGTCCCCAGCCTTGCTCCTCAGAATCATTTAGCAAAAGTTGGTTGACTTAAATTGAATCTGTTTCTGGTCAAATCCCAGACATCCCAGAGACATCTTTCTGATTTGTATTTCCTCTGCTCATAGGCCTTAAGCCTCAAGTCCCCCAATGAACCCCTGTGCCTTTTTTTATCCTCCCCTCCTAGCCATAGCCCCACTCTGCTGACCTCTGTGGCCTTGTCAGTCCAGGAGGCCTTAGAAATCCCAGGGCATGTGTGGGGGCCATAGTGATTGTTTAATTCTCACCTGCCATAGTGGACACCAGGGCAGACAAGAACTGGGCTTCCCAGGAGTTGGTGGTCAGTGTGGGTGGATGTAGGGCACACAGAGATTTACTGTACTATTCTGTCTGTGTCTTATGTATCTTTCAAGCTTCCCAGAATAAAAACTGAAAACAATGGCAACAAAAGTTGAGCCAGGCTTTTTGTCTCTAACTTCTTTTCCCTTCTCTCATTTTCCTACATTTGCCATGAATGTATGTGTTATTGGCTGACCTGGTAGCCTGAATCTCTGCTACCACTATGGAAGCACCTTCATGGAAAGGGAACAGTCCTGGAGGTGGGGAGCTCAGAATTGTGGGCCCAGCTCTCCTACTCCTTAGCTCTCAGCAAGTCACAATGTGGTGAGTTTTCTCATCTGTTCATTGTGAATAACATCACTTGCCCTGCATCTTAGGGCTGTTGAGAGGACAGGAGAGAGTAACACCTGTCGCACCGCTTTGAAAAGTTAAGAACCGTTCTGCAAATTCATTTCTACTCATCCTCGTGAGTCTTCATGGGAGGTACAAGTACAAGATGATTTAGCAGGTGAGCTTCCACTTACTGGTATCCTTTCTCAGCCCGTCTTTTATAGCTGCTGCTCTGACCACCTGCTTCTGTTGGAAGAGCCCCTGGGCTTGGCTTGGCAGCAGGCCCTTGCTCCAGATCTCTTCAAAACCTCTTAGGTCTCCTGCATGCTGAGACAAGCCCAGCACAAGGGCCCACCCCCTTGCCAGCATCCTTGAGGCTGGGGGAGGATTAAGCAGAACACTTGATCTGTTCAAAACTGTGATGTCATGAAGACGCTTGACTGGGGAGAACAAGTCTAGGAATAATCTCAGATATCAGGACTAGGCAAGGCCAGTGACGTATTATATTTCCAAAAATCCCCGGAGATTTTAATAATTTGGGTTTCTACGCTCCCCCTGGAATCTGAGCCTGAGCTGTAACTATCAATAAGGAGGAATTAAAATTCGCCTAACTTCCAAGACACAAAAGGATTAAGTTTCCCCTGCCCCTTGGTTATACTTGGGTGCTTTTACTGCTAATTCTTAGCCCTGGGCTAGGTTGCAAGACTCAGGTCCTGGTTTCAGATATGCTCCCCTCTTCTCATCAACCCCCCTCTTTTTTTTTTTTCTTTCCACTTTTATGAGGAAAATCTTTATCCCCTTAAAAGACAAAGTAAATCAAATATGAAGCTTCTCAGCCTTCTCTGGAGGCCCCACAAGGTTCTGTTTTGTCTTTTCAGCCCTGATCTTAGCTGAGAGAAGGTCATGTTTTGTTTTTGTCTTTTGTCTTCCTGCTTGTTCCAGTTGGTCCCAGTCCTTTGAGGTGGGGACAGCTGGGAGGACACAGTGTGGGGATTGTTTGTGATGACTGTTCCAAGGAGTGGTGGGGCTGAGGTCATGTGTCCAGTGTTCTGAGCAGCCCAGACTGACAGACTCAGACACCAGGCCCGTCAGCAGTTTAATAGTTGAGTCTTTCTCTACAGGTCTACTGGCCCTGTTTTTTAAACAAATGGTTGGTTCACATGATAAACACCTGTGTTCATGGAGATTATGGTGTCAGAATGTCGGATACCAGCATGCCTTAGAAAATCTGGACTATAGTTCGCCTTAGTCCTGAGGCTTCTTGCAAGGTCTTTTAAAGTATTTCTCTCAGGGCTTCCCCGGTGATGCTATCAGCAGCCTCTACAGCTGCAGCTTCTGCCACTGGAGTTTGATCCCCCACCAGGGAGGGAGCTGACCCCTATGGCACAGCAGACCTCTCCTGTCTCACCCCTGCTCCCCTCAACAATGTAGAACTGCCTTTTCTGCTCCCCACTGTCTCTGGTGAATCCTCTCACAAACACCTCTGGCCTATACCCCAGCTCTTGTATACATACATAAATAAAAATTTAAAAAATTTTTAAATAAATGAAATATTTCTCTTATGCTTAACAGTCTTATGACTGTTTGTGAAGTCAGAATTCCTTATAGTTTTCTGGCAGGTCAGGTGCTCTGTGGCTAAGAGCCAGGGCTTTGGAATGAGAGTCCCAGCTCCTCTGCTCTAGCTGTGGAACTCTGGTGAGTCCCTCTTGCCTCTCCCATTTAGCTGCACATTGGCTAGCAATTGTGATGTGTTGCAGTTTTGCCATTAGACTGTTGAGGAGATCAAAGATATGGGGACCTTCTTACTTGCCTTTGCAGATCTAGTACCTAGATCTGCAACTGGCTCCTAAATGTTTGTTGAATGGAAGAATATTTGCTAAGTATATAACATAACTGAATGAATGAAAAATAAATGAGTCCTGCTTTTCCCTTCTGTAAAAATGAAACTAGATTTCCCCCACCGCTTCTCAGTGACTTCCTGGCTGCTGCCAGCTAACTTCCAATGTACAGGATGGAGAGGCAGAGAGAGGGCAATGACTAACTTGCTTCCCCAGCCTGGGTTTCTCCTTCCTCCTAGGTCTCCTCCTCCTCCTTTCCCCACATGACTCCTCCCAGCATCCTTATTGTTTAATCTCTCTGTGTGCTGGTTCTCAGGGCTCCCTGGGGTATCCTGACATCGACGCCATCATGGCAGAGCCCAAGGTGGAGACCCAGAACAGCGTGGACTGGCAGAAGCGATGTGTGGCCCTGGAAACCCAACTCTTCCGGTTCCGCCTACAAGCCAGCAAGATAAGGGAGCTGCTGGCTGACAAGGTGGGTCTGGAGAGCAGGCAGCTGCCAGTCTCCCAGCAGAGTTTGATGGAAGAAAGTTGGGGAGGGTGAACTTTCAGTTTGTGCAAAAAACTGCCTATGCAGGCCAAGTGAAAGGCAAGCAAGTTGGTTTTCTTTGTAAAACCAGAATCAAGGTGTCTACTCAGCTGTCATCTTGTGTTCTTCCCTGCTCCCTGCTGTTCACAGGACACACTAAAGAAATGGCACTCATCTGTTGAGTGGCTCAGTGGAGATTCTGTTACTCCCTTAAGGCTTCTTCCTCACTGTTTTAGGAGGGAAAGATAAAATCGCCACCCTTACCCTCAGGCAGCCTGGCTTCCTGGTGACAAGGACTGGGGCTTTGCAGACAGGTCCACCTGGCTGTCACTAGCTGTGTGACCCTGAGCATTTTAAGACAAGGACACAAATTTCTCCCTTTCTGAGTATTTTGATAATTGTATCAGATCACTTGTGTAGAGGTCCTGGCATAGAGCAGGTGTTACGTAGGAACAATTACTGTCTTCACAGGCTTGGGTGGGCTGGTCTGGGAAAACCACCACTGGTAATATTTCTAGGGGAAGATACATTCCAAGTGGCTGAATTTCATAGGCTTTTTAAAGCGCAGCCCATCTAGACAGTGGAGACCCGCACTAAAAATATATCTCTCTATCTTAAGTGAATCGCCAGTTTCTCTCTACTTTTGTTGTCACAGCTATCTGCTTAGCAGACCTTTCATAATACAAAAGTAAACTTCAGTCCAGCCCTCTCTAGTTAATGTCAAAAGCCTCAATTAGTAAAGCCTGAATAATGATGTGTTTTATTGATAACCCACAACCTGGCGTCCAGGAAGACAAGGTTCGGCATCACCTCCGCATTGCCAGAGTGGAGAGGCGTACAAGTAGCCTGGGTTAGATCTCCTGAATCTATTGCCATTTTTGTCTCCTCATTCAGTCTTGGAAAAACAGACACCGGCAGCATTCCTATGGATGTGGGTTGGGTACTGTTCATAGAAAGGGGCGAATTCAGGGGAAGGGAAGAAGGCCTGACAGAGTGCTTCTCAAAGGTGGTCCTGGGACCATCTGTGCTGGAAATCTGGAGTGTTTGTTAAGCATGTACATTTCAGGGCCCCCCACTGGTCCTCCTGATCCAAGTGTTCCACTACTCAGTGTCTGCATGTTGAACAAGCTCCCAGAAATTGGTTTCATACACTATAAAATTTGAGAACCTTGCCTTAGGCTACAGTAATGGGAGAGGTGTCCGAGGGAAGGAAGGGATTAACACAGTCAGCTGTTCTAAAACATGAGACTTCTGTTTGTATTAATATGGATAAGGAATAACCTACGACCTACCACTATGATACACATAGAAATGCTGGAGTAAATAGTTGAAATATTCTTCTAAGTGCAGATCTATGCCCTGAAAAAAAATAAGAAGATTCCCAATCTCTTGGGATTAAACCAAAGCAACACCAGGTGGGACTCAGTTCTGCAGCTGGGTGGGTTGGGGTGTGTAGTTCCCTTGTCACGAAGGGTTTGAGGTTTGAGTTACAGCATCTCTGGAGACAGAGGGAGTCTGGCCAGTGGAGGCTGGAGCTGAAACTGAGGCCGCCACGTAAGGGCTTTACTTTAAATACAAAGTAGACAAAAAAGAAAAAGAAGAAATTTATCCACTAGCACAGGGAGATGACGGAATATCTTCTTGTCTTTAACCAACATCTTGGCAGATTAAAGAAAAAGGGAATTTTTCTGTGAGAACTTGATGATAGTATTGGTTTAACATTAAATTTATATTATCTATGTAGGTTAAGCCTCAAGTTCTGAACCAGTGGTACTTGTAGGAAACCTGAACTCTATGAATCTCTCTGATTATAAGACCTCAGCCCAGATCACACAGGATCCCTGAGGAGTGGGGGTGTGGGGAGAGAAGGGACAAAGCCTTAGTGAAGATGAATCTGTGATCCAGAATGACTAATATTTAATAGCGCTGAGACACAAACCCTGTGCCACGAGGGAGGCCCAAGGGTGACTAATACTTGAGCAAGTAATTTAAGGAGAGTCCACATATATGACAAACACCTGGACTAGACCTTCCCACCCCCACCCCAAAACTTCTACTTAAGCAAACTATTAGGCAAGATGTTATTTAAAAAAAAAAAGAATTGAAAACTATTGAAGCTATAGTAATTCAAAACATGAGACAAGAACAAACCCTATTTAACAAAATCAGCAGACTTGAAAAAGAGCCAAGTAGAACTGCTAGAAGGTACAAGTGTTTTCATTGAAAGTAAGTATTCAGTGGATAAACTGAACATCAGATTAGGTACCACTGAAGACAGACCTGATGGATAGAAAAATCGACCTGAGGAAATCATCCGGAACACAGTATAGAAATATCAAGCCACAGAGGCGACTTGCCTCGGACACCTCTCCCATTACCATAGCCTAAGGTAAGGTTCTCAAATTTTATAGTGTATGAAACCAGTTTCTGGGGGCTTGTTCAACATGCAGACGCTGAGCAGCGGAGCCCTTGGATGAGGAAGACCGGTGGGGGGCCCCTGGAGTGTACACAGATCATATATGCATCAAGGTCATATATGCATCAAGTAAGAATCCAGCCATGGAGAAGAGGATGGAGAGACATTATAACTTAGAAGGATATTGGCTTCAGAGTTTCCAAACTTGATGAAAGATACGAAGGAAGGAGAATGAGTAAAAAGCAGGATAAAATTTTTAAAAATCCATGCCTACTATATGAGTAAGATCAGAGTCTGGCTTGCTGTAAGAAAGAGTCTGAACTAATACTGGCTTAAACCAGTCAGATGTTTGTTTCCTTCCCATGTGACATTGCAGACATAAGCAGACTAGCTCTGCGTGTTGAGGGTGGTTCACTCTCATGTCCATGTTCCAGCCTCTTCCCTCGAAGGACATTACTCAGGGATTAGAGTCATTCCTTCTGCTCATTCCACGGTGGCCCAGATTTATTCCCATGGTTATATCTAGCCTGTAGCGAAGATTGGAAAAGACAGTCTTTATTCTTCATGTGCTCTGTGAAAAGTTGGGAGTTCTATTTATATGGGAGACGGGGAAGAATAGATGCTAGGGAACTACAAGCAGTCCTTAAGTCTAAAATTTGAGTCTTGAATAATAGTAATAGGAAATAGAAATAGAGGAAACCTGTAGAGCAGGGAAACATAATAAAGAAAATATTAAATTCAGACAGACAAGAGGGAAAAAAATAGTATAGAAAAGGAATAAAAAGCACAAAATGCAATGATAGAAATAAAACAAACATACCGGTCATGAGGAGATATAATATAAGCATGTATATTGCAACAGTGATATATGAAAAATTGGAAATATTCTCAAGGTCATGTGGCAGGGAGATGGAAAAAGATTGAGCGTATTTGTGTAATGGAATACTACACTGTAGTTAAAAATGAATCAAGTAGAGCTGCAGTCTTACATCACTTAATCATGTTTTAGTGTATGAGTGACCACATATGTAATGGTAGCCCCAAGAGACTATTCCACATAGTCTAGTTGTGAACTAAGCTGTGTCCTCTAGGTTTGTGTGCTCACACTCTATGATGTCGCACAATGAGGAAATCCCCTAACATTGCAATTCTCAGAGCACATCCCCATCATTAAGCAACACATAAAATCAGTAAATCTCAAAAACCCACAATGAACAAAGATCAGAAGTATATAATTGGAACAATCATCTTATATAAAGTTTCAAAACCAGTAAAAAAAAGAACTTTGTGTTGTTTAAAAATATGTACAATGAGGTTAAAATGTAAGTACAACTAAGCGTAGGATAAAGACTAGAAAGAGGAATGAAAAGAGGGAGAAGTACACAGGAGACCTCAACTGTCTCTAACAGTTCTTTTCTTTTAAACATCAGAAGCAGATATGACAAAAACTAAGGTTTGAGAAGTGGACTGGTAGATAAATGTTCTTCCAACATGATTTTCTGCATGTTTCATTTGGCCTGAAATATTTCATAGTAAGAAAACTCATGTGCCTCGCTCCCCTGTTTCTCAGCTTTAAGCACATGATAAAGACTTTCTTTGTCCACAGCCCTTAAAGTTTGATAACATCAGCCCCTCATCCTATATTTGACATGTAACCAGAATACCTCCCCACTCTCCAAAACAAGGGGTCAGAGTGGGACTGGGTAAAGAAAGGGAACCCAAAGACAAAGTGCAGACAAGACTGGGGGTATAGGAGCAGGTGGGGAGACAAGGAAATCTTGACTAGGGATCATGGGCTGTGAGATTAAGTATAGATGAGGATCGTGACGTTAGCCTAGCCCAGGACTTCTTGGTAGGAAACTTTAAGTCCATAAATACCATGTCAGTCAATGTTGGGTGGTGCCTACCACCCGCAGTCATTTCCCAAACCAGTTCATTAGAGATTCTCCTCAATAGAGTCAAGGTAAGTTTCAGATTAAGTATGCCATGACTGGGGATTCCCAGGAGAAATCCTGCTGGGACCAGCAGTTTCTGTTGCTCCTCTTAGACCTTGTCCACCATCATCAGTACCCACCGCACAGGGAGAGCCCAGGTCAGCTGGGTCCTCCCGGGCAGCACTGTCTCCCACGGTGGAGATCTCATTGCCTGGAGGATGATGACGAATATTCACACTTCTGGCTGCTTCCCAGGACACCAGCCCAGCCATGGCTCAGATCCCACCCAATGGCTGCAAAAGCTGAGAAGTGTGCTCTTCCTCCTTCCCCACCACACAGCCCACTCACACCTATCTCCATCCAGACATGGAATAATCTATGCTAAAAATGAGTAAAAAGTGACAGCTACTAAATAATCCCTCGCCTAAGGGTGAGAGGAGAGATGAAGGGTGCAGAGAGGAGACAATACCAGACTTAGTTTTTGCTGTTACTCCCAGATGGCCAGAGCCACCTCAGTCTAGAAGCAGATGAGCAGTGGGTGCATATTCCGTCCAGAGTAGAGGCCTATGTTTTGGAGTTCACATCTTGTTCTCACTGGAACTGTCTTCTTCAGCTCCCTTCCTGCTGCAAAAGACACAATTTGGTATTGTCCTAAGAGCCGGTATGAATGGTTATTGAAAGTCCCTAAGACTTCTTGCATTCTCACTAAACTTGTGCCTCAGTTACTCCTTCAGATAACTGAAGGTAATATCCATCCACAGGGGATTTTGTAGACATTGAGGAATTCGTGGCATCAGTGTTGAATTCCTTTAAAATTCTTTTTTTTTTTTTTTAACCTGCCTCCACTTCCTACCAAAAGGGATTTGACTAGGCTTATAAAAGAAGAAATAATGTAATTAAACACCCTTCTTTTCTTAGCAAGAATATTTCTAACTGACACAGCTGTTCCCAGGTCCCTTCCGAGTGGGATTGCACACCTTTTTTCCAGAATTTCCTGCCAGTTTTGCCAGCCAAGGTTTTGAAATATAGTTACTTGGTTTTTTATACTTACATACCATAAGCTTGTAGTTCAAGACCTTTTTTGAATGTATAAAGCATTCAGTTCATCCCCTTAAACAAAAGAACAATGAATGCCCGCCACCCCCCACCCCACGCCCCACCTCCCCTCTCCATCGGTTATTCAGAGGCGAGATTAAGTTTAGGCCCCAGCTTCGCAACGTATGGATAGCACATAAGGCCCAGAAAACATATTCTTAAATATGTGGGACAGGCCAGTTACCATAAAAGGAGCCGTTGTCTGTCAACTAGTAGGAAATATGCTTGCACAAACTCATCACAGAATAGGCCTCGGCAGGTTCCTATGCTGACTAGCTTTGGGAGCAGAGGCCTTCTGGAACTTTCGCTCACTGTGTGTGAATGCCCATACCTGTCTGTATGTATGCATAAGTATGAATTTGTGTGAGATTTTTTTTTTCTCCTAACCCCCTATATTTTTTAGGGCCCAGTATGATAGTTCTCAAGAGCTAGTATTTATAGAGCGTTGGAAAAGAGCCCTGTGCAGAGGGGGCCTCATGCCTGGCAGCACCCCGGAGTTGTCAGCTAACTATGCTTGCCTTTGGCACACTCCAGTGCTCTTCAGAGTGTGTCTGTGGACCACCTGCATCAGGCACACCTGGGTTTTCTTTTCCAGCACATTCCTGGCTTCATTTCTCCTGGGACAAGACCCACAGGTTCTTATGTCCCTGAGATCTACTGCCATGTATTCTTGCCATGGCCTCGCCCTGGGTGCCACCCAGCTCTCCCTCTCCTGGATGCGTTGGGGCCTGGGTGGGCCTGTGGGGGATGAGGTGGGTCCCACAGACAAGACTTAGACTTTCTTGTCCAGTTAGACACCAGGACAGCCCCTCACGCATGTATTTTATATAGTAAGGAATAAGCAGATGATTTCAAATATGAGAAAAAAATCTGCTACTAAAAAATGATAAATTGAAAACCACTGTCTTCGAAGAACACAAAGTTAGAGTATTTAGTAGCTAAAACTAGGGCTTGCAAACTTGAATGCTTGCGGGTAACTTAGATAAGTGGGGCAGTGAGATTGGGTTCTGGGCAGAAGTGAAGGAAATGTGCTACGATTGGAAGACTGTGGGAAATTCTAGCAGCAGTGTGTCCAGATCTTCTGAGTTTTTTAGAGAAGCTGGAATTTGGGATTGTGTGTGAAACCTGGAGTTTGTGTGATGTGAGATGTGGATAGGAGAGGTAGGCACAGTGCCTAACAGAGCTGGAGACTCCAGCCAATCCTGAGTTTAAATCCCGTTCTCCCTCCTAGCTGTGTGACCTCAGGCAAGTTACCTAACCCCTCTGTGTCAACTTCCTTGTCTGTACAGCAAGGTTAGTAACAGTACCTCCTCCTGGGACTGCGGCAACGATGAAATGTGTTAATATATGTGAAGGGCTTAAAAGAATATCAGTCACTGGCTAGTGACTTATTTAGTTATCTGTTGGCTCAATGTCCATAACATTCTGTGGGCTAATAGCTGGCCACCTCTAGCTCCAAGCCATTCTTTCTATCAGGGGAACATGGGACAATCAGATAAATTGTCGCCTAGAAACCAAGACACTTTGGAGAGAGAAAGGAGGGCTCTAGTAACTAATTCTCCCCAGACAGCAGGTGGACAGTCCCCGACCCACTGGTCCTAATGCCATCTTTGTATATGGAAGACCAGCTAGCAGCTTAGGTCTATAACCTGCTTAGTAAGGCCAAGGGCATGAGCTTTAAGCGAGGCATCTCCTGCACCCTCACAGCACAGGGCCCAGGAGTGGGCACTCAACCCTCTAATTTTACTGAGGAAACGAGGTGCTGAGAAGTTCAGGAACCTCTCCAAACTCATACCCTGGGGAGCCAGGTAGCTTCCAGCGTTGGCTCTTACCTGTCCCACCTCTGCGGTGACTGCAGCACAGTGCTGAGAACGTGTGCCCCCTTGAAGGGTCGCTGAGAATAGCCCAGTGTGCCTCTGCTCTGCAGACAGCCCGAGTGCACCTGGTCGTGCTGCCCAGAACTCAACGCAGCCCGTGCTCGGACAGTTCGAGAGTGCTGTGTGTGGTCACAGCTGGTGAAAGTGGGTCCCGGCTGTCGACTAGCTGACTTCTCCTCAGCTGGTGCGACACCCAGCCCTGCAGACTCAAACGGTGGCCGAGGGCACAGTCCTAGGGAGCCTTCTGAGAGGAGAGGGGACGTGAAGAAGGGGCGGCCCACCCTTAGCCTGTTTTTCAGAGCTTCGGTTGAGGCCAGAGTGTGTGAAGAGCAGCCTGCCATTGTCAGAAGTGCTGCTGCTGCTAAGGTTAAAGGAAGAGTTTAGAAACTCTAAAGCTGACATTCTGGCAGAGACACACCTAGAGTCCTCCAAGGGCAATGGAGAAGATATATTTTCATAAAAACAGAGGAAACGGGATGTTCAAAATACCTCTGCCAGTGGGGACAGCAGGATGTGGGTAGCAGCTGCGTGCCGTGAAGGCTACACGCTGGCCTCACACGCTCTCTTTAAAAGGCTCCAAATGATCGAAAGGTTTTTAATCTTCACAAACTAGCTTGAGAGAAAAAAGGAAACTCTAAGAATACTCTAGTGTGAATGCAAAATGCTTTGAGTCTCAAGTGTTCTTGCCAGAGATTCCAAGCTGGGGTAAGGTCATTAGCCTCGAGGACCACATGGCAGCCGACCCAAGGTGTCTCCCAAGAAGACACCCGGCTCCGAAATAGCTCCCCTCCCACCTGCCGCACCCCCCCCCCTCCCATGCACCTCTTAAAGGGATGTATCACCTGCTGATCTTGGGTGGGGAAGAGGTGCTGATCCCTCCATGAATAACGGGATGATTTCTGGCTCCTCGCCAGTGTCATTGATGTCTCTTGACCTAAGTGGAAATCCCCTGCTGGGACTCAGGTACATTTTGTTTTTCCTGCTACCTTGGTTTCTCCATCCGTAAAATCAGAAGTTGGCTTTGTCCATCCGGTGTTGCAAGTCACAACAATGAATGATTTCCTAGAGAAACCCCACATCTTCTGAGCTACCAGCGGGTGAACTCATAGCCTTCAATGGTCTCACTGAAGGTTAATCTAGCGAATTTTCCAACACTCTAAAGCCTTTCTATTCAGTATTTTGTCATAGCCTAAACAAAAATTTAAATGGTCCCTGACAGGTAATTGCATGGTTTAGAGTGGTTTCTGTTGTGGGGGTAACTCCAAACCTGGCTAGCTGAAGCGGGTAGGAACTGGATCAGGAGGCTCCTGGCACCACTCACAGAACTGAGGAGCTACCAGTGGCCAAGGCCCAGGAAGTCTGTGCGTTGATCCTGGTGCCCCGACACCCCCATCCCTGGTCTCTCAATTCCGGATTTCAATTCCTAGGAAGAGAGAACTTGATCAGTCCAGGCAGCAGAAAGGGGGATGGTTACACAGCATAACTGCTGGTTCGCATACACCATCACACCCACCCAAGTTCTGAGCCACCCCTGTAACCCCAACACGGGTTAACCTATTCTGTCACCTCCCCCATAGTTGCAGAGCAGCCGTCTGAAGGCCAAGGTACTCCCAGAAGGCCTGTGGAATGGGTGCCTGGGTCTGATAGAACCAAGCCCCCTTCTAGACTTGATGTCTAAGTCGAGGAGGGGCTGGAAAGAAGAAAAGCAGGCATCCTTGTTCTGAGCAAATGAATGCCTGTCAAAGGGCTCTTTGCCATTAAGGGGCTGTAAATCTTGAGTTTTACTTGGAATCCACAGGCCCCTTCAGAGGGAAGGGGGACTGAGAGCAGGGGGAAGAAGATGGATGGGCAACGTCTGCCCTGAGAAAAAGAGGGGCCCTAGCTTCTCCAACATGATCTGGGGTAACTCTCCCTGTTCTGCAGTCAGCTGCGGGTTTCTCCTCTTCCATTCTTTAACCAGGGAGAGAAAGAGAATTTGAACTGAGAAGGTAAGAGATTGGGAAAGAAAAGGAATGACGTTCTCAGTCTACTGGTAAACATCAAGCCAGGGTCCAGGCCAAAGGGAGAAGGTTGGGTTTCTGGAGAAAAGGCCAGATCTGCAGAGGGGAGTCGGGTGAGGGCTGGGCTGGGCCTCAAGGACAGGCTGGAGCTTTGTGCATCCACAGTGCGTGTGACACTTGCAGCTGCCTGCGGGCAGTGTCCGTGCAGTTTGCTCCCACTGCCTGGATGTGGACACTTCACTCCATCCCCTCCCTCTCTGGTTGAGCAGATGCAGGAGCTGGAGCAGCGGCTGCTGGAGGCAGAGCAGAGGGCAGAGAACGCAGAGACCCAGGTAACCGGGAAGAGAGGATTTATGGGTGTATGTGGGGGGAGGGGTGACCATCGGCCTTTCCTGACCCCGCAGACATGTGGACACATTCATGGTGATGAGCTCCTTGCAGAGACAGGGAGTGCCTTACAGGTCAGTGTGAGACCCTCCAAGCAATTTAAGGTGTTCAGAGCTTTCTGTGGGCCTGAAGGAGTCTTTGAATGAGGCCCAGTGCTGGGAGCGTGTGAGCGCCTTGGTCCACACAGGCTCCGTTGTGCTGGAGTAGTAAGTCTGACATCCAGCGGTTTATCATGTCCGGCTCCCACTCCTGCTGCCACTTCGTTGATGGTTAGTGAGGGAGTCTGCCTCACACAATGATTCGGGGGTCCAGGCTGCTGGAGCGCCCTCTCTTCTAGCTGGACTATCAGGAACATGCGGCTTCTTCGGTTGCTCTGACAGGAAGAGAGCTTGTGCACCAGCTCTGGACATTTTGGTCCAGAAACGTGTCAGTCCCTTGGGACTGTCGACTGGAATGATTTCCGTGGCCCTCTGTCCCATGGGCTGGAAAACCTGGGGGCACACATGGACAGTTAGTGAGCAGCAGATGTCTGCCACCGTGAGGCTGGAGCAGGCCCTTCAGGGCTCCCTGCCCCACTAGTCCCTGCTGGGGCCTCCAGAATTGCAAGGCCAATACCGGCTGTGCCTTCCTTGACAGTTCTTTTGCCTAGATGAGGCCTCAGTAAGTGATCTTTGAATGAATTGGCCCCTGACTGGGTAGAGTCAAGGCCCTACCTAGAAGTCAAAGACTCAGGCATCATAAGTTGCCTGTCCCATGCTAATGGCCATTTATTTCTTCACCTGCCACACCCAAACCCTTTGAGATGATTGATACTTTTCAGGTGGGTGTGATGGAAGAGAAGGTGAAGCTGTCCAATCTGAAGAATGTGGACACAGCAGGCGGCCTGCACCAGAAGTACCAGGAACTGCTTGAAGCTATGAAAAGCAAAGATGAGCTCATCAGTCAGCTGGAGGCACAGCTGGAGAAGCAGGTAAGGCCGGTGTGCCATGGCATCAGTGCCAGCCACCCAGCTTGACAAGCACAGCCCCTCTGCTGGACCCCTCCGGTGATGGGCACCTTATTCCACCATGAGACCTTTCCTAAGGAGACTTCATTCCTGGAAGGGCTTTCCCACTGCTACAGGTGAGAAAGAATCAGGCAGAGCACACAGGAGGAAAAGGACCTGGGAGGGAGACCAAACTGGGCTTGAATCACACCGCTGGCACCTGCTGCTCTCTGGCCGGTCAGTTACTCCAGCTGCTGGCTCACTTCATGCATCTGTCAAGTAGGCATCGAAAGCCTACTTGAGGATGGAGCATGAGGTCTGCGCTAGATCAAAAGGACTTTTCCTTCCTGACCGTCCCTCCTCGCCTCTCGCCTGCCCACATGTGGGACACGTGTCTGAGCAGCACACAGCTGGGCAGGCAGCTAGTTGGCTAGCATTTCTCAGTGAGCCTGCATTGGCAGAGAACAGACATGGATGGCAAGACCTCGCCTCTGAGCACATGGAACCCAGGGGAGGCCACTGCCCGGCACTTCAGAGACAGCCCCTGGCTCCTGCTGGGACATCTGAAACACCCCCTGCCAGCTGCCTAGGCCCAGTCTCCTCCTCTCAGTCTCATTAACTCCACCCTGTTTTTTCTCTTCCCACTGTCATTGGTCTAACCTGCCCAATTTTTCCCTGTTGCCAGGGCTCTGCCACCCGATCCAACAAGCCCACTGTGACCAAAAGGCTTTTAATTTTCCACATGTGCCTTCTCTATGAAGGCCTCAGCAGTACTGGTAGGGCCATCCCCCTGTGCTGGGCACACGGGTAGCCACTCATCATCCTTCTCTGAATATTTCCTTTGGGCCGTGTCTTTATAGGTTGTGGGGTACCATGTGCTCCTGAAAAATAGTGGGAAAATATAGAATATTGATTTTGTTTTCACTCTTGAACTGTTTGTAGTTAGCAATGACAGCCTCCTGCGGGTGGGTGAGCAAAAGGTCCCCTGCTAAAGCTTAGGTCAGAAAAATCATTTTACAGTTATCAGGAGGTCAAGATCAGAATAGCAAGAACACTGTCCCACAGCCAGTAGCCCTGATTTGAGTCCCGGCTGTGCCAGAAACTGGCAGCAACAAGTCCTTCCACCCCTCTGGGCTGCCAATTCTACAGGGTATCAAATTAGGTCGGGGGGCCTCCCTGGTGGTGCAAGGGGTTAAGACATAGCACTATGAAGCTATCTGCAGCATGTCTCTGGTGACTCCTTCCCTGCCCCCACACCCCCTGTCACTGGCCTGCACCCTAACTCTTGCATGCATGAATAAATAAAACTTAAAAAAAAAAAAAAAAAACTGGCCCTCCCTGGTGGCACAGCGGGTTAAAGCACAGCACTAAGAAGCTAAAGCCACTTCCGCATGAGTTCGATCCCCGCCTGCCCCGGAGGTGACCACATGGCGTGGCAGACCTCTCCTGACCCGCCCGCTGCTCCCCTCAGCAGTGTACTTCATCGGTCTGCCTGTTCTGCTCCCCGGTCTCTCTCTGGTGAATCCTCTCACCTTCCACATCTCTGCCTGTACCCCAGTTCTGTATGAATAAATAAATAAATCTTAAAAAAAAAAAAAAAAACGGAGTCAGGGATTGGTGAACTTTTAGACAGTAATTATTTTAGGCCTTGGGAGCCTATACATGGCCTGGTCTCTTACAACTACTTTACTGTGTCTTTGTAGCAAGACAGCAGCCCTGGACAGTGCCAGAGTGAAGGACCTGGTCGTATTATGGCTCTACAAAGATCGTTGCAGAGTAAAAACTGGTGGGGGTTTGCGTTTGGACCAAGGGCCATAGTTTGTCAAAGTGTGACAAATTTGATGCTCTGCCTCCTCTAAATACGTGAGAGGTTCACATCCCGTCTCATACCCACAGACTCCCTGGGGAAGCTTGTGTCCACCGTCTTAATTATCAGACAGCCCCCCCCCTCCAGCCACCCTGCTGCTGGTTGCTAAGCTGGGTGCTTTAGTGACGGGGACACAGGTGGCCTCCCGGAGTCCACCCCACGCCTGTGAGGGTGCGAGAGCCGTGACATGTCCACCCAGGAGGATGCTCTCCCGACAGCTCTCTGCTTAATTGGAGACGACACTTTTTTCTGCTATGGAGCATAAAAATTAAAACTTAAATGGGGTGCAATAAAAATGGCTTGCAGTCCCCATCTCTGGCTCCTGACTTTTGCTTCTCAATAGAAAAGTCATGTGGAGTTGTAGCAAGCAAGCAGTAATTCAAACAGAAAGACTAAAATTAATTTGAAATATTGTCAGGCAGACAGGTGTTGCTTCGCATAAACAAAGCTGCGTACAAACTTCAAACTCATAAATTCACAATTCTAAAGAGCTATTAAAAAGCAGGAAAACTTTTACTTAGAAAACTTACAAAGTAGTGGAGTCGGTAGCTTTCCAATACCTGAAAAATGATCCATGTTAAATGTGTCATGTTGTAGTAAACACACTAATAGGTGTCTCCTTAATTATGTGTCTTTCTAATGTTGTTGAACATCGTTATGAAAATTACTTTGGAGATGAGTAATGTGGAATTTGCAGTGCATTTCCATTTGATTTTGTTTCAATTTCTGTCCTGTCACTACCATGCCAAGCTTCTTTCTCAGAGTGTCATACTGTTTATATAGCTCATACGAAAGAAGCTCTGTATTTTCAAGCAGATTGACTCCTTTGTGCACAGAAAAATTGGCTTCAAAGCAGTTCTAATCCCGCTCACAGCAGATCTCTCAAACCAGTGAGCTTACAAATGATAGGGACTCCTAGCTTAGCCGGTCACTATCACGATGTAAACAAGGTGTACAGGAGGGTAGCAAATCTCACTTTTAAATCATCTCTTACCCTTTTGATTTTTTTTTTAAATGCACTTTTGTACTCATGTAGCACCTTTTTTTTTTTTTTAAAGATTTATTTGTTTGCACATACAGAACTGGGGTACAGGCCAGAGGCTCAGGGGCAGTAAGAGGCTGCACCAGAGACAGAGTGGGGAGCAGAACAGGCAGATCTATGATAAAGTACACTGCTGAGGGGAGCAGCGGGCGGGTCAGGAGAGGTCTGCCATGCCATGTGGTCACCTCTGGGGCAGGCAGGAATCGAACTCATGCGGAAGTGGCTTTAGCTTCTCAGTGCAGTGCTTTAACCCGCTGCGCCACCAGGGAGGACCGCGCTTTTTTTTTTTTTTTTTATGTAAAAATTACTACATACTACTAGTAAAAAATGCACAAAGGCCAAAATGGAATGAAATGACAAATAGCATTTCCCCTCTATTTCCAATACACTTCTCACTTTTTTTTAATATTTTTATTTTTCCATCCAAGAACTAGGGTACAGGCCAAAGGTATGGTGGGTAGAGGATTTACCAGAGACAGAGTGGGGAGCAGAATAGGCTGAGGGGAACAGCAGGTTGGTCAGGAGAGGTCTGCTGCACTTTGTGGGTCAGCTCCCTGGTCCAGGATTGAATTCAGGTCTTAGTGGTGGCAGCATTGAGACTTAACCCCTAAGCCACCGGGAGGACCCTCCACTCCTAACTGTTAACCACTGTTCAGCACAGCATTTCACTTAGCCAGCCCATGATCGGTGGATGTTTAGGTTATTTCCAGTTTTGAGTATTTTGGGTTTTGTTGACTTATCAAATAATATTACAAGAAAGGATTCCTAAGCAATGGGGTTGTTAGGTGAATGACGTAAACGTTTAAAATGTTGGCAAAAATAATCAAAATGCTCCTGCAAAAAGGTTTTGCCAATTTGTATAAAAGGAGTTGTTTTCTAGCATTCTAGACAATTTGGGATAATATTAAACTTGAAATTGTGTTAGTCCAATACAGGAAAATGATGTCTCATCTTTATCTGCTTTCTTAAAATTATGATTGAGGTTGAACAACTTTCCATGGGTTTCTCTCCCCATTTTTCTTTTTCTATTGAGTTCCTGTTCATGTTCTTTGCATGTGTGTAGTTACTGAATTGTTCCGTTCAAGTTAGCCCTTGGTAACATCAACATCTGTCCTCCGCCAGTTGGTCTGTTGATTTTCAGACCTTTTTTCTCCTTGTGACGTAGTAATTTGTAATGATGATATGGACTTACTACTCTTCCTTCATGGGCTTTGGGTTTGTACTACACTTAGGAAGACCTTTCCAATTTAAGAGTAAAAAAAAAATCCAAAATGAACGACCTCTTTTTCTGTGGCCACACCCTCCAGTTGCTTGCTATTTCTTCTCCGCTGTTTATTCACTGCACCGTGACTGCCAAGATTAACTAGAGGCCCTGTCTTGCAGAAGCAGATGAGGGCTGAGGAAGCAAAAATTGTTCAAGAAAAAGCTGCAAAGATCAAGGAATGGGTAACAGTGAAGCTGGCTGAGGTGAGCAAAGGTGCATTGGGACCTCCATGTGCGTGCCCCGCACCCACCCCGCCGGGGTCCCCGTGTGCGTGCCCCGCACCCACCCAGCCGGGGTCCCCGGGGTCCCCGTGTGCGTGCCCTGCTCCCACGCTAGCGCTTTCCTGCTCTGTGGTTCAGACCTGCTTTCATTGTTAATCATTGACTCTTCGTTCTGCTTAAATGCTACGATGCTTCACTTTTTCCCCCAATCTTTCCATCTGGGTTACATTTTCCCAGAGTTCTTGAGGGGCTTATATAGTGCTTCATTTGGGGAGAAGGAAAATCTAGTTTCACAGCAAGAGCAGCAACTTGAGTCTGTTGAGCAAAAGTCAGTGCAGAAGCACCTCCTCCATGTTGAGCTGCCGCCCAGCGCAGGCTCTACTGTGAGGGTCCAACAGCCGAGTGTCCCGTCAGCAGGCCTTAAGCTCATCAGCCCATCCAGTGCAGTGCTGTGAATGGACTCGCTGTTTACTTTATTAATGACATTTTCCTTTCTCCCTGACATTGGATGTGGGGCTGAACTGAAGGTGCTGTCACTGTGCCTGCTTCTGACCCAGTTATAGCTCTTCAGATGGTATCTTCCTACTGTGAGAATACAGTATATAATACATGTACAGTCTGAGGTAGGTGTTAACCAATGCTGTTAGTAAAGCTTCTGGTCAACAACAGGTTATTAGTAGTTAAATTTGGGGGGAGTCAAAGCAATACATGGGTTCTGATTGCCAGGGACTCAGCACCCCTACCCCTGTTTAGTTCCAATGTCAGTCATAATCAAGTTCAGAGAGAGACACAACTCGATAAACATGTGGAGGGCTGTGTGCTCGGGTGGAAAAACCTAGAAAGTAGAGAAGTGACTCATAAACTTAGAAGCATGGTTGCTGTGGCAGGGAAGAGAGTGTGGGAATGGGCAGGGGGCATGTCTGGGCACTGGCGAATGTCTATTTTTTTTTTTTTGAACACTCCTGTTAAAGACAGATTTATTAATGTAAGAAATCAACTAACAAGAATTAATTAGCCAGATGATCACAGTGAAAGAAATGGAAGCTTCTAGCTGGAATCTTGCTCTTTTTTTTTTTTTTTAAGATTTATTTATTTATGCATACAAGAGCTGGGGTACAGGCCAGAGATGCAGGGGATGAGCAGATTCACCTGAGACAGAGTGGGGAGCAGAACAAGTGGATCTACTGAAATACACAGCTGAGGGGAGCAGCAGGCGGGTCAGGAGAGGTCTTTGCGCCATGTGGGTCAGCTCCCTGGCCGGGGATGGAACTTGTGCAGTGGCTGTGATAGCTCATAGTGCAGTGCTTTCACCCGTTGCGCCACCAGGGAGGCCCGCTGGAAGCTTTCTGTCTAGTTAGCAGAACAATCCGGCAGGAAAGCTCCGGAGCTGTGCTTGCTCTGGTGGCCGCTGCTGGGCGGTATGGCCTGATGACCACTGCGTGCGTCCCATCATCAAGCTAAGTCACACCTCTAATTGCTGAGGGCTTAAGAAGAAAGGCAGCGCTGTCCCTTGGGTGCCTTGCATTTTTTAAAAATTTATTTACTCCTCTTTTACGAATTTCTGCTTTCTGGGCAGTGGTGGTCCCGTGAGTATTCATTTCAGAATCCTTCATTCAGCTAATCTTTGATGTGTGTTTGTGGTTTTCCACACATGTGCTGCATTTCACAATTTTTTTAAAAAAGATGAAAAATAACTTGAAAAGAAAGTGCAGGAGCTGCCAAATGCATTTCTGCCCCAACTAAAGCCAGTTAGCAGGTGGGAGAGAGGGAGGGCAGAGCACCCTGGAGGGGTCAGCCTTGGCTGGGGGGCTGGGGGGCCCTTGTGTTCCTCTCCAAAGGTTTAATCTTTAAAAATAAGTTTAGCCCTATTTTGAATTATATGTCTGAACTTGAAGGCTGCATAGTCTAAATCTTTTTCTTTTTGCCTAGCTGGAGTTGGAGAATCAGCACCTGAAAAGCTGTAATCAGCGGCTGGTAGAGCAAGTAGGAGCCCTTCAGGATGCACTAGAAGGTGAGCAGGCCAGGGTGTGTGTGTGTGGCGGTGGGGGGGGGGAGGGGGACTGACTTTAGGGTGCTCTTACCAGGGTGTGTGTGTGTGTGTCTGACTTTAGGGTGCTCTCACTAATCCTGGTGTGTATGTGTGTGTTTGTGTCTGACTTTAGGGTGCTCTCACTAATCCTGGTGTGTGTGTGTGTGTGTGTCTGACTTTAGGGTGCTCTCACCAGGGTGTGTGTGTGTGTGT